TTAGGGTTTAGGGTTAGGGACCCCCCAATAAGATTGATAATTATTAAGGCCTCTATAGCAGGGTCCCTGTTTTGATTCCCACCATAGCATATACAAAGGACCCTTAAAGGGAGCCATATGATGAAAACCCACGTGCAGTTCACTGAAACCAGGGCACAGGGCTGCGACGGCCATGACCTGACAACGGCAGTTTCTGGGTCTTGAACATCCCTAAACCCCTAAACTCCAACGCCTACACCGCAAAACCATAAATCCTGAATTCCCACCCTTAAACCACCAACCCCTAAACCCTAAACCCTAAACCTTAACCCACCCTAAACCCTAAACCCTAAACCTGAAACCTTAACCAAACTCTATGCTCTGAACCTTCTGGGTTATAATGTGGGGGCCTTGAACATTAGAATAGGGTTTTGGGGTATATTCTACTACAGTTCCAACAAGGAACCCCCAAAATAGTATAGGTAACTATTGAGGCACCTATATTAGGGTTGTGGGTTTAGGGACGGGGCAGCGCCTTAGGTTGCGAGTCTGCTGCTCAAGATCTTCGAGAATCACAGGGAGGTGCTTCCTGGGTCAGGTTTAAGGCTTTAGTAGGACTTTCGGTTTAGGGCTTAGGACTTAGGGTTTACGGTTTAGGGTTCAGGACTTTCGGTTTAGAGTTTAGGACTTAGGGTTTACGGTTTAGGGTTCAGGACTTTCGGTTTAGGGTTTAGGGTTTAGGACTTAGGATTTAAGGTTTAAGACTTTCGGTTTAGGGTTTAGGGTTTAGGACCTATAGGGTTCAGGGTTTAGGGTTTAAGACTTTCGGTTTAGGGTTTCGGAACCTAAACCCGGAACCCTAACGTCAACTGTGGCATGGCAAATGTAACTTAAACGAAGCATGGATCCAAAAATGACCCTCAAAGTTACAGATCTTTGCTACTAGAACCCCTAAATCGGACACGCAAAGTGGTTCGGGAAGGGCTTGCTCGTATATCCTGTGGCCGTAAAGGGCTTCTTCTTTAGGTGCTTCAGGGTCAAAGTACCCTTCTCTGCAAAGCCGAAGCAACACGGCATCAGATCAAAGAAGTAAAATGACTAAACACATGAACATACCCAAAACTCCCATTTCCGAACCCCTAAACCCCACAGCCCAAAATCCTAAGCCGACGGACCACCACCACCACCACCACCTAATACAGAAAGCACCACAACCGTAACCCCTAATAAATGAAACAACCAAACCCTAAACCCTAAACCCTAAACCCTAAACCCTAGACCCTAAACCCTAAACCCTAAACCCTAACAACCAAAGGCAAAACGAAGCCATGCCACCATGGCCAAGTCCCGCCAGCGGAAGCCGCGCACGGGCCCACGCACCGAGCAGAACTTAGAAGAGAGGCGGGCCAGACGGTCCTTGGTTTAGGGTTTAGGGTTTAGGGTTTAGGGTTTAGGGTTTAGGGTTTAGTGGTTTAGGGGTTTAGGGGTTTAGGGTTTGGATGCCCAGAGACTCAAAGCCCGCGCAATCAGAATAAGGAATCATGTTAATTTCTAGACACTATCCTGGACCCTGTATTGAGAGAGCTCGACACTTGGTTCTATGCGCATGGTCTTACTCTGCGTTCGAAGGAGTGCTTCCCCCCCTCCCCCAAAGCCTGAACCCCAAAAGAGGAAAGCGCAAGGAACGTCGGGTTAAAACCCGAAACCTTAAAACCCTAAACCCTAAAGCCATATAAAACCCTTAACCCTAAAACCCTAAAACCCTAAACCCTAAAACCCAGTTAGTGCAGAGTCTCCGCTTAAACGCTGAGTGTGGTTGTAGTATCTGGGTTGTTCTTTATTACCCTGCTAAAATGATCACTTTCAGTCCCCCTAATATCAAAAAGGGCTCACCCTAAAAGTGATAAAGCTAAACCCTAAACCCTAAACCCTAAACCCTAAACTGAGTGAATGTAAAGTTCAACCAAGTATTGACTCTTAGATCCGAAGCCCAAGGCCCTAACCTCGAAGTCTAAGAGGGCAAACGCAAGAGATCTACCAACAAAACAAGCTTTTTGGAGGTGTAGGGTTTAGGGTTTAGGGTTTGGGGGGGTATATTATGGTCTTGTTGCACAGGTTATATGGCAAGGGGCTACGGTTACTAGTTCTACTGACCCTCGATGAACCTGAACCCCACAACCTACAAGCATTTTCCCTACTTAGAGGCCCAAGGGACTTAGTGAGTAGGTTAGGGTTTAGGGTGTAGGGGCCCAAGCAAGGGACTTAGTAAGTGGGTTCTATGTAGGGTTACAGTTGGGGTAGCTCCATTTAGGATACTTATCACTGTACTTATAACCTATTTACTAAGTCCCATGCGCCTCTAAGTTACCCTGAGTCTTGAAGCCGCGGATCTTCAGCATTGGTGGGTTGGGATTTCTCAAAGCACGCTTGAGGGTTTTGTTTTTATGCAACCTATAGGGTTTCTATGCAAGGTTTACGGTTTAGGGGTCAGGGCGCCATGATATGGGTCGGTCAAGGTTCCATCCTTAGTTCAAAAACAGGTAACACAGGAGGTAGCTTGTAATTTGCACGTTCCACTATGCAACCGTGGCTGTTCTACATATTACTCCGCTTGTCACCTGCTTACTGCTTACTGTCCCCTAAGCCTTCGATCGGGTGCTCCGAACTGGGAGCACCGAATATTCGCAGGCAGCATCAAACTAGAGGTTAGCCTTTGGGAGGTTGGGGGTTTAGGGTTTAGGGCTTTAGGGTTTAGGGTTTACAGTGTATATTGATTATCGTACCCCAAAAAGGCTTAAGGTTAGCTACTCTACTACTATGTAGGTGAATGTTGTCATGTTCCTCACCCAGACCCCCAAAAGAATCTAAAAAATAGATCCCCTAATTAGGGACCCTAACTACTAAAGGGTATTTTATAGGAACCCCCTTAGGGGATCTATTTTTTAGATCCTTTTGGGGGTTTGGGCGCTGGTGCTAACGCGACAGCCCGGTACAGGCGCTTTGCGCTTGTCAGCGATGCTGGTGTTGGTTTCATGCTGCTTGCCTGGGAATCTTGATGCCTCCTAAACCCGACGCTCTGCAACGCTTAGGGTTTAGGGTTTAGGGTTTACGGTTTAGGGTTTGGGGTTTAGGGTTTAGGGTCTTAAACTCAATGAAAGGCCTTAAACCCTAAACCCCAAACCCTATGCCCCGAAACCCTAAGCCCCTCATCTCCTACAGCCCCAAGCCGAGAAGCGTGCATCAAGTTGAAAGCGCCACCCAGTAGGCCGAAAACGGCACCAATGACGAGGCAGAATACCGCACAGCCCAAGGGATAGTTCCTGCTGTTCTTGCAGGCTTCTACAGAAGTTATCAGGAACTACAAGGGTTCTGTAAGAGCTGAGGGTTCACGGCTTTGCGTCTAGGATTTCGGGCTCCTGTCGAACACTCTCCGGAAACTCTATCTGCCTTTGCACCTCTAATCCCTACACACGGAACAAAGGCCCTTGTTAATATAGGGGCCTGAAAAATTCCCTATACTATTTTCGAGCTTCCTTATTCTTGTTACAGTATAATATGCCCCAAAACCCTATTCTAATTATTCAGGCCTCCACATTACGCTTATTCCTGAAACAACAATAACTCTGACATGGCCTTCAAATTTTCGACATGAGGATCCTAAGAATCGAGCCCCGACTTTGGCAAAACCTCGTCCCCTCGTTTACCATAGCAAAAACTGAACCCCAGACAACATCATTACCGCAGGTTGCTTTACAGATCAAACACCTAAATAACCCTAAACCCCAAACCCTAAACCCCGAACCCTAAACCCGAAACCCTAAAACCCTAAACCCCAAACCTCGAACCCTAAACCCGAAACCCTAAAACCCCAAACCCCAAACCCCGAAACGCTATAAACCCTAAACCCTAAACCCCTAAACCCTACACGCTTAAAGCCCTAAAGCCCTAAACCCTAAA